GGAACAGCTGGATGTTTTCACTCTGGCTGTGTGCATTCAATACAAACATCATCAGATGGGTGTGAGTGGACGCAGAGAGAGGGAGAAGGAGGCACGAAGAGACAGAGCATGCTGGTTAGGAGGTCAGCCCTATGGTGCATTCCTTCACACCCCATCAGCATCTGGAGGAGGGAGAGAGAGGAGGGGAGGAAAGGATGGATGGAAGGAGGGCGTCTCTGGGGGAATGGAGAGGAGCTCTCCTCACTTCTCTCATACTCTTTCCCTTTTCCTCTCCCTCTGGCATCCCTTCGAGGAAAAAAGCCGGACGAAGGCGATGTGGTGGTAGTTGGAAGGCTGGTGGGGGCTCTGAAGATGGCGGGGGCAGTTAAAGCCGGCTGCTGTCGCGCTGCTGAGTCGTTTGTTAAAAGGGAGGGAAGGAGCGAGAAAGAGGGGAGAATGAGATGGGTGGGGGTGGCAGGGAAAACAGACAGGCTGTTAGCGCAGAAAAAATATGTTATCGCCGTGGCAACGCAATGTGGCAACTCTCCATGGCAACAGCAGGTGGCTCAGGGCTAAAATTTGCGTTCATTGCTGTTGCCTTGCCTTTTGGTGTGTGTGGCGGGGTGGGGGGTGCACGTGTCCCTCCTTCAGCCATCCAGCCTCGCATTAAACAACTCAAACGACAAAGAGAGCTGGGCAGATGAGTGGAAACAAGTGTGGGGATTTGTTGGGGATTTCCTGTATCTTCAGGAAATAGAATAAAAACCTCTGTCCATGTAGTCACTGACCTTGTTATGAAGGGGGGGCAGCCTCTGTGGCTGGAAGGTATAGGGAAGCAGTCACACATGTAGTCTGATGGAGAGCTAAAGACTACTTAACCCGGAAAAGCTCTTAGAGACCCCCCCCTCTGTCCGTATCCCTCTCCTACGTCCATATCCCTCCATCTTTCTCGCTGAATTATTGCCTCTCTGGCAGAACTGCGCCCATTGTCTTCTCGCGTTTGTGTGCTCATGAGTGAAGATATCGCCGTCTTTGTGAGAAATGCTGTCATTACCTCCCTCATTAGTGGTGCAATGATCACGTAAAGTGAGTTCTTAGCTTTGTGTCCCTCTGTGTGTGTGTGTGTGTGTGTGTGTAGGGGGGCTTGTTTATACAGTTTGAATGGCTTTCTGAGGTGGTTAGAGAGGAGGCATTGCACTGGCACTGACTCCTGGTATGGGTTGGTTTTGAAATAGAGATCCGAATTAGAGATTCCCCTAATTCTTAAATCTGTAGGAAGTTTTAAAATTGCACTCTTAACATGTAGGACCTTACCTCAACCCTGAGATACTGCCTGTATTTCTAAATTCAGCTTTTTAAGATAATTTTTGAAATCTCCTTCTTCCTGTTGTCTGCTAAAGGTCTTGCTCTCTCTCTTGTAAGCTGAAGGAATGTCACCAAAGTTAGGAAGATAATTAGATTGTTGACTTCTGTGATGACTGTGTAAACATAGGTATTTCTTATATATATATAAATAAAAAGCAGTATTTTAATGCACAATCCTTAAATATCCCAGATGTTGCATCCTAGCATTCCTTTGCAATTGCTGTATTGGATGCTGTGATGTTGTGACAATCAGAGGCTGGTTTACCTTCAACTTTGTGGTTTAGTTACTATATTTACCAACTTTTCAGACCTCTCTAGCACTTTTATTTTAAATCTAGTGACTTTTTTCTGCTACTGGAGACTTTTGTGACAACATCTAAAAAGCACCGAACTCTGCTCTCCAGAGCAAGTACATTCGTAACCCCGCCTCCGTCTGCTGTAATGATTCATGCAGCTATTATTTCAGACATATGAAAAATGGAGAACAGATTAGCAGATCATGGCTCGTCTACAGTGAAAAGAAGGACTGGGTTATTTACTTTTGCCGTCGCCTTTTTGGAAACACAGGAAGGAGCAATCAGCTAAGTGAGCTTAGTGCTTGGAAAAAAATCTTTCAATCCTTTTGAGACAGCATGAAAAGTCAGCTGAGTATAAAACAACAAGAAAAGGGACAAGAAGAGAGGGACAAAACAAAGAACAAATTATTTATGTCTATTCTATTAAAATTGCTGTGTCTGTATAATGGGTCTGTTTTATGTGTTTTCTTTTCAATTCACAGGGCCCCCTGCCTGTTTTTTGCCTTGGGCCCCACATTTCCTAAATCGACCCCTGGTGGCAATCTATATACTGTACATATTAACATGTTGTTTAAAGTAAAACTCATGTTGCCTCAGATCCTTAATTTCATCCAGCACACTGGGACTATACAGCGACATAAACTTGGCGAGTAGAGTGATGAGCGCTTTGCAATGGATTATTCGTATGAGGTGGAGGATTCCTCGCCACCCATGGACACAACATAAATGTTAAATTATTATTTCAGAATAGAAAGATGAGGCAAACTCCAGTCTTGATGCATTTTCTATTTTTCAATTATATTTATTTTTAAAATGTATTTTTAAATAAATTTTTAAAAAACTTTTAGAGCACATTAGTGACATAAAGCTAACATCAATTCATTTTTTAAATTATTATTATTAAAAATAAATAAAAAAAATTAAAAAATATAAAAAACAAAATTAAAAAAAAGCTAACGTCAATTCAGAAGATGGAGAATGTTCTTTTATCAAATTTTAATGTATTTAAAACTTTTATTTACTTTTAGAATTAAACAAATCTTGACTTGTTTTAATTTCTAATGATAAGAAAAATAATTGAGTTTATCGTCAATACCTTAATGAACCTGCATTTGTAGGAGGAGCTACTTTTTTCTTGATGAGGTCACATCCCTTGTTAAGCCAATAACAAACTTTAGATGCAGTAACCATTTTTAACCTGAAGGGGGCGCCAAAAAAGACGTTTTTGTAGACACGAAATCAGTTCAACAAACTTTCAGTATATTATACAGTCATACTTAGGACATGAACTATTAACAAAAAAATTATTTGAGGGTGAGTATCCCTAAAAGATACAATTTACATTTAGATAACTTCTTATACAGCGCTGCTGCTTCTGAACTAATTTTAACACCTCGCAGATACTGAAGAAGATCATTCAGTCTTTTTAAATCAATAACTGGCTCCACACCAGAGTGGTGTGGTTAGCATTACTAGGTTGCTTTAACTGTGGGGGAGCTGCTATCAGAAGAAAGATCACATTTCTGAGTTTCCACCCAGTTGGGGCATAATAAGCTAAGAATTGACAGTTTCAGGTCACCAGACTAGGCTTCTAGTTTGGATTTTAGACTAAATGTGCAACAAGATACAATTTATAACTGGAAAAACAATAATTAAATTCTACAGTTGCTAAAATAATAATGAAAATGCATTTTCATATTTATGTTATCATAATGAGGTGTAGTGGCCGACTGTGGAAATCAGTGTTTGTTTAGTAGAAATGGTCCCTTTTTGTTATTTTCTTTTAAGAAGTCTTTATTAATGGACACACTTGGTGCACAAAACAGTATGCATGTGATGAAAACAAGAGGAAGAGGGAGATCTGAAAGTGCCAAAAAAAACACAAAACAAATCTATAAAAATTATATTAGGAAATTGTGCTGATGATGGCTATGATGATGATGATGATGATGATGATGATGATGATGATGATGATGATGATGATGATGATGATGATGATGATATACTTCAGGTAAGTGAGCAAATAAAATGTGGAAAAAGGGATTCAAAAATCCTGAAATCAATTAAGGAAAATAAAGTCATGTATCATTAATTACAGATTTATGTAATTCAATCAAGCAGTTCCAAAGCTATGCAATAGCAAGTAAATAAAAGAGTATAAAAGATTTTTATTATTTAAAACTATTATATAGTCAAACTATTAGTGCAGTGCAAAATATATATATATATACGATCATGACTGAAAAATTGCTTCTAGTTACTAAAAGTAAATGAGTGCCAAACTATGACATTACGTCTTCAGTTTGCTTTTAAAAACACTATTAGCCCGTACAGCCCTGAGGCCTGCTGGAAGGCTGTATCGAAGGAGGGGGCTATAATTACCAAATACTGCCTTAATGTTTATTTATGTTTCTTTCAGCTTATCAGAAGATCATTTTAACAAAAGAGTTCTTGCTTGCTTTATTTATTCCTTAATCTTCTAAATATGTGGGACTAAAACTTCTGACAATATTAAAAGGCACATTATTTTCCATTCTAAAAAAAATAAGTGAAAGGTTCAGAAACTCTGAATTAGGGATGACTTTTTATGCAGTAAACCTCCAAGTATGTTGGACTGTCTACATTAGTAACTAGCCTGCATTCTGTAGCTTTACAGTCATCCTGTCAGCAGCTTATCAAATAGTTTGAACACAGCAAAACATTTTTAAAGAAATTAGTTGTGTACCTTGAGTTTTTCATACAATGTCTATCTATTAGTGTGGTGTAAGCGAGGCTAGTAGCCCTACTGCATCCAGCTGATTGGTAGTCCAGGGCAACAGGTAATAGGGCCAATTCTTCATTACTATTCGCTCTATAAAGCCTGGAAAAAAGAAGTCAGTATGGACTCACTAAAAGGAACTTAAGATGTTGATTTGATGTCTATTTTCAGCAGGTTTCAAATGGTAACATTTTAAAAAGTTGGTCTACCTTGATACCAGTAATCAGAGCAGCTGATAAGTTTTTCTGTGTTGGTCACCCTGGACGCACATCCATCTTAAACACGTCGGCGTGCCACAGGCGACAGTTAAACGCACACGCACCGATGAGGGCGGTTGTGTGAGAACGGACCGGCGGGCGGGTGGGGGGCTGTCATGAGAAATTACCCCCATGGACTGCAGCGTGGAGGCTGTAATTCTCCGAGGTAATCACAGGGAATAATGGTAACAGTGGGACACCCAGGATTCTAATCACTATAATCAGAAGCATTGGCTTATGGGCTCAAATTCCTGCCTAGCGATGAAGCCGGCTGGGCTTGTTTGGCTGCTTACATTCGATCAAATGATTGACCAGTTCTCTGTTCCCTCTCTGCTCTCTCTCTAGTCCTCCGTTGTGGTCGGGGAGCCCCCTGTTCAGAAAGAATGGAGGAGTTCTTCTACAAGGTATGGTCTCACCTCAGCAAGTTCTTGTTTATGTGTGATCTTCCGCCTGTTTCTCTTTTTCTTTTGTCTTTTTCACTGCCTTACCCTCCCCTCCTGACTCCACCTTCTACCGATGTGCCAACTCCAATCATCTCAAACCCAAATCCCTCTTTTTAGAGGCGCACCTTGAGAATACTGACTTTTGAATCGCAGCCAAAAGAGGAAAGCTTTTTTTTCTTTTTTTTTTTACTACAGAGGCATATTTAAAAGTCTGTGTAAAAAATAAAATAAAATAAAAGAGACAAAGCCACTGAGATATAACAAGAAAGAAAGAAACTAGATCCATCTTCTCTGTCCCCCTCCCCTCATTTAACAGAAGATTTGTCCACTCTCACTTCCTTTCTTCCGTTTTTCCACTATCCCTTCCTCCTCCCTCTTCTTCCCTCCTCCCCCGGTGGCGGGGCGGCAGTTAAAATGGACATTCAATCCCAATCAGGGAGCACTCCAGGAGCTAGCTGGGCCGCCGAGCCCTAAATGGAGGGGGAAATGGATACATTAGGCGTCTGCGGCAAGCCCTCCATCGCTGCTAATAATGGAGTAGTAATGGTCAAGGATCCGGAGTCAAAGAGGGGAGAGCCTGAGAACCTGTACTCCCATCTGAGTGATGGGTCTGAGCATCTGGACGGATGGACGGACAGAAAGGGAGGAAAGAGAAGGTTGACTCTGAGTCCATGCATAGAAGGAAAGGACAGGAAATGTGATGGGGTGGGGGGTGGGAGGGGGTCCCCCCCTTAATGTGATTTTAAAAGGAAAACCTGCAGAAATGGTCAGGTGTGATATTCAGAGGCAGCGGGGAGAAAGAAAGTTGTGACAGACAGCCAGAGGCAACGACAAGGAGAGGGTTGGAGGGGGCTATAGAGAGGTGGGCTGTTAGTGGCCTCACTTATTACTTCCATCTCCCATTCCCAGAGCCGTCAGAGCCGCTCTGCTTTTAGCTGATGTGGGCTGAAGTCTGCCTGTCTATGTCACCAAGCAGCAGCCGGAGGAACGCAGAATAGTCTCTGGGCGATGGGTCGTCATCATGACGGCTTAGCCCCAATGTTCCCCAATCACAAGGTCAAAAAGATATTTAGAAAAAAAAGATATTTTAACCATCTTTTGATTTAACAGCAGTACTACCTCACTGGAAGTTAATGTAGTCAAAACCCTCCTTTCTGTCTGAATTATATCTGTTTAAATATTATTTCCTGATACAAGAGCAGTAAAAAAAAAATAGTTTACTACAACTGAGCTTCTCTGCATCTCTCCTAGGTGAATAAACACATAAAATATTAAGATTTTTATAGACACCGTAACTTTTTTAGCTTTTTTCATTCACCCTCATTATTTCCTTTTACTCAGCTCAACATTCAGGTTGCTTTTCATTTAAATTCAGCAGAGTATTAAATTAAACTCCTTATTGTAAAAAGCTGATCCTTTCACGTTCACCTCGGGCCGCTCAGATGATACATTTTCCTTAAAGTAATCAAAATCATGATTTTTTTACATTAAAAACTTGAGTGCCTCACAAAAGTATTATTACCCACTCATGCCTTTTCCACATTGTCACGTTCCAGCCCCAAACTTCAACAGTTTTTTGGTGGGATTTAATGTGACTCTGCAAATGTAGTATGGGGAAAACTAAATTTGTGTGGTTTTCATTTGCATTTCCCCCTGTTTTACTCGTATAGCTTTAAATAAAGTGCAGGGCAGTCAGTTAGCTTTTTATAATTAGTCTATAGAGTCTACTTGTGTGTAATATAAATTCTTTATAGATATGTTCTCTTATGGTCCTTTAGAGGTTTGTTACGATTATTAGTGCACAAACACCACCACAAAGACCGAGGAACACAAGTTGTGAAGAAATTGAAACCAACATCCCTAGCTTTATGCGTCAACTGAAAATCTATGAAGAAATAACTTTGCATCCTGATCTAAAGAAGCGATTATTAGAGAAGCAGCAAAGGGGCCTGACGTATCAAAATTAAATATTTACACTAAATAAAAAAGTGTTAAGGCAAGAAAAAAACAACTTCTCCCTGAATGCACCATCTCAATGGTTAAATGCACGGTGGTGGCAGAATTACAGCATGCTGTGGCTTTTCTGCAGCAGTGACTGAGAGTTGATGGCTAATAACTGATGACAAAAGACTAAAGGAGATGCTGACCATATACATGTAGTCAGATATACTCTTGTTTCACAAAATCAAATGCTTTTAGGTTTCAATTGCCTCATGAAAATGTGTGAAAGCATTCAAGGAGTATAAATAGTACCCTGTCATTTAGAGCCTTAACATACCTCCCAGTGTCTGTGAATATGAGCTTCTTCAACGTCGCAGACAAACGTGCTTTATTCATACCCTTAGTAGCTTTCTTAATATGCTGTTTAATTAATGATACAGTTTTCAACTGAGCCACATGGGGGCAATAATGAGCACGATGGTTTGGTGTTTTCTCAGAGGAGAAGCAAGCGAGAAAATCTGAAGAAGAAAAGGATTTTCTAAGAAAAACTACTTTTGGTATACTTCTATCCATCTATCCATCCATCCATCCATCCATCCATCCATCCATGCATCTCTCCCCATAGCAACACCATCCAGTTCTTTCTAGTTGATTCTAAACCAGATGGGTTATAGCAGGAATCCCTCTAGAATATTCTGTCCCGAGGTTTCCTCCCAGTGGGAGCTTAAATGTTTAGCTCCTAAGAAGTTAATTATCCAAATAGTTTAGCCGATTCCCTTCCACTTTATTCTTTACTATACTAACAAGCTCCCCTGTTTTTTCTGCTAGTCAAGGTCAGATATTTACGGTATTAAACATGTGCTGAACATCCATAGAACGTTTTTGCTGATCCAAGTGATCAGTTAGAGATAATTAGACTGTTGGGCATGAGATTGAAATTGGAATTATTGGCGTTAGTAGTTTCAACTTTTCATTCTGTGACATATTCCTAACTGAACGTTGATAAGTGTCAAAACCACACTAGTTTCTTTTCTTGGTTAACATTTGGCCCGTTGGCGTTTCTCTCTGAAAGGAAAATAGAGCCTTGTTTAAAAGTTGTATTATATTACTGTAATCAAGGTGTTACTTTCATTTTGTCTCCCCTCTTCAAGTTACAGCACATGTCAGTCAGCCAAGCTCTTAAACTCTCAGCCTGACTGTCAGACAGACAAGCCGGTTAGCCGTCCAGTTAAACTGCCAGCAACTTCATCCCACCAGCAATCCAGGCTGTCATTCAGCCAGTCAGTCAGACAGCATTAGTATGCATCCTGCCCTCAGACTCTGTTCTCAGTTTAACTCACAGCAGCCAGCCAGGCAAACGGACAGGCAGAGGAGAGGGGGGGGATGTTTTGACTGAGCGAAAGGCCGCTTTCAAACGGTTGCAATCTCAAGGTCTGCTGGGAGTGACCTCTGAACCTGTGGGCTGTGAGCGTGAGCTGAGTGAGCGCTCCTCTGCCGGATGAGTCGAGGCTGCAGCCTGCAGGGCCATGAGGAACTCATTTAGGAGGAGACAGGAAGGAGGCAGGAAGCAGCTGACCATACTTAGGAAGAGAAAACTGGCCGGAGGGGATGCATTCTTTCTAGGAAAACAGCTCGCATTCATACAAATATGTTCTTTTATCATGGAAAGGAATTTATGTTATTACAAACTTCAGCCATTTTTAAGCACATAGTGTTCAATCTCAGCGCCGCCTGGTTTGTTACCTCATCACCGCAGCATATGTCCCGGGCTTCTTACCTGCAGAGACAGCATACATGCTCAGCTGGAGATATGAGTCACCAGTGTACACAGAATGGCAGTGAGATCAATACACAGAATGGAGGGGGGGGGGGACATCTACAACAGGATGGAATTAGATGGACAAATAGGGTTTATGAACAGGTGCAAACACTGAGGTAGACAGAGGGGGAAGAGGAGAGTTGCCCACACTTGGACTTGGCATCCATGTGTCTGTGGGCGTGTATTTCTATCCAGGATTCCTAAGCAGTCTGGAGGTATCTTACAAAATAAAATAAAGGATATAAATGTATAACCCCATGCTATAATTCATCAGTTTGCTTCGATTCAAACCTGACGGCTGAACTTGCTAGGTCTTTTCATTGGGTTTGGTTAAGTGTCGCTGAGTCAAACCGAGCTCGGTCCGCCCCTCACCCTGTTTCTTTCTATCACTTTCTCTTCTGATGCCTGATCCTTCACTCTGTGGCATGTTGCTATGGCAACGCAAAGCCCCGAACAGAGTGAAAGGGTGGAGAAGGAGGGGAGGGTGCACGTCAACCCGGGAAGACCTAATGCGCTGCCCACACACACACACACACACACAACCGTGCAGCAAGTGATCAAGATTACAAAAGAGACTCTGTGCAGGGACTTACTTATAAGGTTATGGAGAGCAGCTCTGGCGATATCAGGGGCAGGGCCATGCTAACTGCAGTCAATGAGATTACTGTGGACACAGTGGACCATGGGGAAGGGCTAAAAAAGAAAAAAAACCCACTCGCAGACTAAAAGTACCAGGCTGTTTTCTGTGGGGGGCCTCGCCGTGACGACTTGTATGTTTTTAATGAGCTTGCAGCTCCTGGGGCGAATTAGATTTCTCCTTATGACATCAATCATAAATGTAGCATTTGGGTTGAGATTTAGCATTGGCGTGGGGGGGGGAGTGTGCTGACGCTGAGGTACATGTTTGCTGGCATTTGCACCTCAACAAACGCGTCTGCGGCAGACAATGAGCAAACATGGTGTCGTCGTCTGCGAAAAACAAACTGACCCCAGAGATGAGAGTGACAGCTGTTCTAGTGAACTGGGACGGCTGTGGTGAGCAGTCTGCTTTGAATAATAACAGCTTTGGGCTCAGATCTTTTCTTCTTTTCTGACCTTCGGAAATCTTCCTGCTACAGTCCGCTCCTCTGCAGAAGTGGGACGGCTGCTTTAGACTACAGCCTTGGTGGAAAATGTGAAAACTGCGCCGAGGACTGGTTTTTATTCACAGCTTCCTTATTTTCCGTATTTGGACAATTTTAGTTTGAAGGCATTAAACAGTCACACTATTAATCTTTTCCTAAGATCTTTTTTTTTTTTTTTTACTCCAAGGCCTCATAGTTAATTAATAATTCACAGTAAGGTTACAGTAAAGTCTGGTTTATAAAAGTACTAAAGAAATAAACAGATACTTTTACCTTTCTCTGGCAGCAACATTAAACTTTGTGTTTTTGTGCGCTACTTGCAGATAGAAATAAAAACAGATAGATGTTCCCCACATTTTGCTGTTAGATCTATAAGGGGCAGATATGTACCTTATTTAATTAACTTTATATCATGTCGTATAAAGCTTCAATATTCAACCAGGGAGAGTTTTGCCCTATTACTTCAAATACTTTTAAGCTTTCTTTAAACCTTACAGCAGTGTATGGTTTCAATAACCCCGATTCCTAAACACCATTTTTTTACAGCATATATGATATTTATTCATTTATCTTTACAAAAAAGTATAAAAAGAAGGAATATATGTACTTTACAGCTAGAGCGGCGTTATTTCTCCAACTGCTGAAATAGACTTCATAGAAATAAATGAAAGATAAAACTAGCTGCGGTTTTCCTTCAGCCAGCTGGCTGGCAGTGCTCAGTGGAAAAATAGAGGAGAAAGCGCCACTGTATAGAGATAATGTAGCACATTCCAGCATTTAAGAAATGAATGTTCCGAATGTGCTCACATCCATTCTCAAACATATATGGAAAAGTTGACATTTTTTCTCCTCCTTCCAGTTATTATCTCAGTAATTCTTAACACATAGGATCAACTGTTTAAACCATTTTATAACTTCAAATGTACTTCACATCCTCACATCTAAAACAAGTCCCACTCATTTGAGAGCAGCCAGAAACGGTTCTAACAGTCCTAATACATGTGAATGCTGTAATAATTGAAGCTCAGTTCCACGGGGAGCCATTTAGGATTCTCCCTCTAACACGCTCCAATCTACAGAAGGTGTCTCCAGCTCCTTACTTTGACATTTACCCCAATCTGAGGACATAATTAACGCGGCTGTGTGCATCTCTGAATTGTCGCCGTAGATCACCTTTGAGTTAAGTACCGCCGATGGAGGGAGAAGGAAATGATGCCTTTTGGCCCCAGCTTAAACAGATCATTATTAGGCAGGCTGTTTAGTGCATTGCAGAGAATCAACAGAACAAACACTCCAAATGAAAGCCGGTAATTAGCAGATTTACACAAATTTAATCCTTATTTGCTTTGATAATTAGATGATGAAGAAGTTTACAGCAAAAATGCTGGAAACACATTTATTTAATAAGCAGCGTTCCCTTTTTTTTCTGGTAGCTTTATATATTTGGAAGGGGAATAAGTTTTGGTTAGTTTAACAACAAGGTTTGTTTGTATTCTGTTTGAGTACATTTTATTAGCTTAATGGAGGAATAAATACTACTCTAAAAATCAACTTCCAAACTAAAGGAGCGCTTTAGATGAGTCTGAAGTCCCCCCGTTTGGGTCCGTCTGCTGCCACCGCCGCTCCACCCACAGCATCAGACGGCTGCATTAAGCCGAGCCAAGCGGTCGTTGGTAATCGAATGAATCAAAGCGGCCCTAACTCATTTATGACGCTTTCCCGCTCAATTGAAGCTCGCCTTGCTCATCAATATCGCCCCGTTGGCCTCATCGGATGGCCGGTGAATTCTCATCGAGCTCCTGCCACCGTCTCATGGAGGTCCGATCAAGCTTTCCTCTATTTTTATCCCTCTGTGCTTCTTAACCTGATTTAAGTACGGCATGCAGGGAGGATCTGTATCGACGTCTTTTTGGTAACGTTTTTCTATGTGTTGCTTTTCTCTTGCAGTTCCTCGTGGAGTGATCCAGAACGGAGCCCGCGTCAGGAGCCAGGCCCTCTTCCCTGTGATCAGACCCCTGCCCGTTAGCCCAGTGGGGACCAGAACCTCGGCTATAAGGTGGGGAAACTTTTCCCCTCAAACGTTTAATCAGTCTGAATCAAAGATGGGATTTCCCCGCACAAACAGACCCCCTCTCACACACACCGATACCCACAGAAAAACATGCAAGTTTCCACTCAAAGTTTACATAATTACGTCTTCATTGCCTTCCAAAGTCAGGCTTTCACACGCTCCATGCCGCTCTGAACGTTTGATCCAGGTGTGTTTAAATAAGGTTTCCCTTCCTTAAAAAACAGGGGTTTATTAGAGGGAGAGGCTTCTTGATCCAAAGAACATATGCAGCATGCACAGACATGAACATCCATCACCACAGCATAAGAGTATAATGGTGGTGGTGGCATAATGAATTAAACATCGCCAAGGGCTCACTGGAGGTATGCAGTGAATATTTGATCACTGCGAGGGGTGCATGTTTTGCTTATAGGATATTAATATGCTAAGTCTCTCATTCTGAAGGTGAGGGTGTCTGTGGGACGGGGGGGCTGCCCAACCTGCTGCAGATTTATGGCTCCCCCCACCCCGACCTTTTTAAATGCTGACGGTTACAGCAGAATCTGTGCTGCATGATCCCCCTGAACTTTATCAAATTAGGTCACAGATTAACCAAAACTTGATAGTAATTTTTTTGGGATTGTTTGTAAAACATCAACACAAAACGTGTTGGATAATTATAGATAAATATAGTTTGCATTTGAATTCAGCCTCCTGTACTCTGATGCTTCCAAATATAATTCAGGGCAACTTCAAGAGTCACCTAAGTATGAAATAGAGTCTAATAAAAACTTAAATTGTGACATTTAGGTTATATTATATGCCTCCTGAGTGAATTCTTCTCTTTTTTTGCTTTGGTTACAGCAGCAGGTCTTTGGAAAATGTCTCTAACAGCTTTACACACTCAATAGATATGTTTTTTTGTTTGTTTTGTTTTTGTTTTTTTTCCACAAAAACTTGAGCTTATAAAAAGTAAAAAAAAAAAAAAGGTTTGATATCTACTAGAGCTAAAACACAAATAATTGGATTAATTGTTTTAATCAACAATTTAATTAATTCCCATCTCTTTTGTTAATTTAATTGAATCGTTAACTGAAGCATGCAGATTCGAAAACATGCAACATAATGAAGAAAAAAAACTATAAAAAAATCTTCTCTGTTTGTTGACATGCTCTATTCTAGAGTTTGTATATAAAATGATGTGAGCATTTCTTTTTTTTTACATGCTTTTGCCAATCATTTAAAATGTGAAAATACACAAAATACACATATAAAACACGCATGTATCAAAAAAATCGAACAGAAAATGTGAAAAGATTCAAGAGGATTGAATACTTTCTGGAGGCATTGAGCTGTTAGAGGCCTTTCTTTGTGCTGTGCAGGTTTCACATTTTACAGCCAGTGTCTGCCTCTCAGAAGGCGAACTGTCCTCTGAAATATGCATAGGTGGCAGTCTGGCAGTGACTGCTGTCCTTTAAAGGGAAAGCCTGGCTTCTTTTTTTTTTTTTTAGAGAGATACAAGGTTTTTATTGGACTTGAGAGATGAGCACATCACGCCCAGAGGGGCTGTTTGGGCGATAGATCACTACCTGCATTTTTTCTGCTTCCCAGCAGCTCCAGTAGAACATGGCTCTAACCGCCAAGCTGCAGAAATAACTGAACTATCTCCTGCTCTGTGTCCTCGCTTCATACAGATCATCCCTGGGAGATTATCTTAGCCGGGGAAAGGACAGCCCCTCCCGCTACTCTCCTCCCCCCTGTGGCGAGGACCTCCAGGAAGACCACACCTACAGCACTGCCAAGTCCCCCAGCAGGCTGTCCTCCTCCCAGGGCACCGACCCCTCATCCCCGGTGGAAGACGACGACATCATCGCCGTAGAGGTTCAGTCGGACGTCAAGCCGGAGCCTCGGGAGATCCCGCTGGATTCTCACATCGCAACTGCCGCCGCCTACATTTCCCAGCAGCCCCTGCGCGGACAGAGACGCAGCTCGGCGGCCGGAGCTGGGACTCTGCCTGGCAGTAGCCTGCCCTGGACCAAAAGCCGAGCGAGGGGCATTAGCGACACGCTGCCGCTGAAGAAGCGGCGCGCGCTGGAGAAGCCGCCGGAGAGCGACGACGAGGAGATGAAGGAGGCGGCGGGGTCGCTGCTCCACCTGGCGGGCGTCAGAGCCTGCCTCAACAACATCACGAACCGCGCCGCCAAGGGCCAGAAGGAGCAGAAAGAGACTCTAAGAAACTAAGACACACATTCAGACAGCTCAAAACACGCACACACACAGACACACCTACACAAATAGGTCAACAGGTAACGTTACAGCATTAGTCTCAACAGACACTCATCATCTCCCTCTATCTATCTGCAGGGCATTAGGTGAATCCTACTTATTTGTGGCAATATCAAAAATCAATGTTTTCCTACATGTTCAGCAACACTAACATCAATGGTATCTCTCATGTGTCTATGTTGTTTTTGTTGTTTAAAAAGGGGATGAAAGCCATAAAAAAAGCATGTTTTGTTGTTAATTTGGGCGAGCGGAGGATGGCTGTTTGTCTTACCTGTTTTCTTTCGTTTTGTCCTTTCTTTTCCTTATTTTTTCTCCCACATTGAATCTGTAGCAATCTCTCAGCGATGCCAGTAAACGCGGCGGAGACTCAGCACTCACCCCCTCCACCCAGGGGCGGGGGCATCGCTCTCCTACACCCACGAGCACAAACACGAGACTGTGCCAAAGATACGCCACCAGGTTGCTTCATGTAGCCGATGCGAGAGCCGACGGAAAAAAAAAAAGAAACTTAGAAGGAGACAAAGGCATCGTAGTAAAGAGCTAAAGAGAGCGACCTTAAGTGTCAAAAAGAAACCCAATGTGATGTACATTCATGCACTTAAGATTATTTTATGCCACTTACACAAGAAGACGTGGTTTATTTCAAGAGCACTCGTAGTATTTAAGAAAAACTATGAAAAAAAAGGTCATGTTTGCCATAATAGACAGTTAGGAAGCCGGGTCTGAGGCAATATCTCCTTCATTTTTGTTGTTCTTGTTGCATAATGTAGACGTCGTCCCTGAAGCTTTTCTCAGTACCTCCGTTCACAGAGATCATAGCTCTAACCTGTAGGTGCCACACCTTCCTGTCCATCCGACACCCTCAAGTACTCTCTACACGAGCTGTGGGGTTAGATCTCCTCTCCGTTGTGTCCGTCTAACTTTCTCACTCTACCCTCATAAAGATATAAGCAATTTGTCCCACGCGGACAACTCTGTACAAAGGTTAGAAAATATTTTATTTTTTTTCCTTTTTCTTAATTCAAGCAATTTGACCTGCAGGACTTTCTCAGTTATATTGCATGGGTGCTTGTAAATAAGATGAGAAGCAAAATCTTTTTTATTCAAAGATTCATGTAAGATAAACAATGTATTTAGCATGAAGCATGACTTATTTTCATATAAACCTTGATCCTAGAGGAAAGGAAAAAAGAAAAAAACATGTTTTTTCCGCCAATTCTTATACCTGTGATTATTATGGAGATTTTTTGTTTGGGTTTTTTTTTTGTCTTTTTTTTAAATCAGCCTCCTTTTTTTTTTTTTGGAGTGGGCTTTTCAAAGGGTGTTCTCCCCCTTTGAGGGAGAAGCCTCCAGGTTTAGGGTTCAGGCCTGCAGGAGCGCCTCTTCTGGGGGGCGTGGGGGTGGGCTTCCATCTACTGTTGATTGTTTACCGCCTTGGATTTTTTTTTTTTAGTGGGTCTTCAAAGACCATTTTCCAGGCATGGACATAGAAGATCCCTCTGGAAATAAAGCCCCCTCCTCCCTGAGGGTGACGTCCCGTCTAACGAGCAGGATCACCGATTTGGGGAGGGTGGGCTTCCGTCTTCCTCTGCCTGATTCTGTTTTGTTTTTATTTATTTTTTTATTATAGGTGTTCAATGTAACCCCCCCACCCCACCCCGGTGTCACTTCAGAACATGTCAGTGGAGTGTGTGAGTCAGTGTGTCAGAACACACGCACCCTTTAACGTTGTGCCTGCCTGCCCTCAGTTGCTCTTTTTTACACAAACAGAGCGCCACCTATATTTATTTAGAACGGTTTGGGTTTTTGTTCCGTTTCCTTTTTTTTCCATGGTGTAGATGTACGTGTGTCCTTACTTTCCTTTGACATTGTTCAGTGTAAATGTGTGAATCAGTTGGGCATGGAAAACTCTCTAGGTGTGCTGAATAAATGTCATAACCCCCCACCCCCAAAAAAATCAACCTTGTAGGACATGGAGAGAATCATTTCCGTCTAATTTCAATCCAGTATTTTGAGCCCTTTGATTGAAAGGAGAGGTTTGTCGTTGTAGGGGATAATGACACTAGTTAACTTTAAAGGGCATATATTTCATTTTTTTTACAACAATTTCATCCCCAGCTGTATGCAGACTTGTAGCGCATGATAGTTAGAGACATTTTTCCGTTTCTAAGATGAAGAAATGTGTAAAGATTTTGAAAGGGAAAAAGTGAGGATGCCCCAACATCTTTTTTAAAAAGTGAAGCCAAATACAGGCCACAGTGGGTAACGCAGTGACACAAAAGCTAAATGTGACAGCAAAGGCTCCAGCTCAGGTTCAAAGGATGGAAAATTGTAAAAAGAAGCTGCAAGTTAGGAGTTTTTTTAACAGCTGGAGCTTAGAAACTTTAAAAAACAGCATCCTAGGGATGGTTTTAAAAGCTGTCTGTCGAGAGCCAAACTAGTCCAATCAATAGTGAATGAGTGTAGAAACTGTAATTAAACTCACTATGGAATAAATTCAGCTGGATTATATTCAACGGTGTCCCCAGATTAGATAGCAAAAAGCAAGACATGCAGTCATGGAAGTATCACTTTTCTTCACGCTCTTTTTTTTTTCTTAATTTTCCAGGGTTTAGTTATTAACAATGATGCCACTGTACAAATCTTTTTTCCAAGGACACTTTCTGATGCAAAAAACTCAGATTCTGTATGTCGCTTTACTCTACAATGTAGCTTTAAGCTAAAATAGCAAATGTGGACGATGGAGGGAAAGTTTTAATCCTGATGTTCTGCTCAGTCTGCAGCCGGAGTTTATGACTCTGTCCTTCATTTGGCTCAGACACAGAGGAAAGAAAAGAGTCCCAGCCAAAGCTATTTTAGATGAACAAGATTTTAATAGTCTTTTTTTGTATTATTATTACAAGCGATCTCCAGAAAACAAACATAAAATTAAGTCTTGTGTGCATTTCATAAGTTTTTTATGAAACCACAAATCCATAATCCTCATATACGATACCTATGTCATATTTTTAAAAAGAGATGGTAAAAGGCTGTGGCTTTAGATCAATTAGTTTTTAAAAAGAAGTGGAAATGCCAATTAATTCACTTGACTTATTGAAACTTTTTGAAGCATAGAAAATATATTTCCCCTTTAGTCTTTTTACGCCAAATGATGTTAAACAGTAAAGAGAAGCATGTCAAGGTGTTCATTTTCTGTCTGCATAGAAGCAGCTGGGGCTGATTAGAGTAGCAGAACCAAGCGAAGGTGTTTTTTTAGGTGAATAGACGCTGAGCGATTATCAGCAGGCCGAGCAGGGAAAACAAATGCATGTCCCATTCACTGGTATGCTCTTTCGCCACCTGTAGCATGCATCGCTGGCTTTCCATTTCACGTACATGGAAAAAAGGCTAAGAGGAGACGCTGTCAGTGTCTCGCCGTGTGCCATCCGTCTCCCATCTCATATCTGTCTAAGTGCTCCCACGGCCCGGGTCGATCACTCGGCTGCATTTGATGTAACAACTCCACTCTTGCAGTGAGGAGTAACGCGCTCACTTGGCAAGTAAAAGAGGGCATGTTGATTTAACAGCTGCTGTGTTTTCAGTGTGACTCACTCTGTGGCATTTAGTAAAGATGAGATCTAGATTTTAAGTCCTTAAAAAACATCGTATTAATTATTCCCACAAAGGAAATGCACATCACTGCCTGAAAAGTGCTCGAAATAAGTTATTTATTTTAAAACCTGCCAAACAAAACCCATTTTTAAGGAAAAATCATTGCCATTTTTTTTAGCTTTTGCTTATGTTTTATGCACTTTTTTTTCATGCTGTCAGAATTCCTTAAAGTACTGCCATTGCTTCTGCAGACCGTCTGAGCTGAATGTTGGAAAGCCATAGGTTTGAGATGTCAAAAGTCAAAGCTGTCATTGATCTGCGAGATGTGATTTCAGAGTGCACCCGGGTGTTGGTTCCTTTTTTTTTTTTTTTTTCGTTTGAATCTCAGTAAGGGTTCGGTTTCCTCCTTTTCGTGCAATCATGTTGCCAAAGAATGATTTTAAGACCTACTTCATCACTACATGTAAATATCAACGTTGTCCAATGCCGTGGCAAAAAATATATAAATGTCGTTTTCTTTTCTTTGTTGTTTTGTTTTCCATTTTCTGAGAAACTACAATGATGTTTATGTGATGTATTGTCTTCCAGTTGGTTGCAATAATAAAAAAATACAAGTTGCAGAGAAGTTTGGCTGTTTATTTTTCAATGAGCGACAAAAACAGAAGGTAGAAAGGACAAAGTAAAGGATTTAAATCACTGCATTTCATTGGGTTGCAAACATAAAAGTGTATCATGTCTGGGCTTTATGTGTGGGGATTCCTTGACATGCATAAGTTCCTTTTTTTTTTAATGCAGGAAGATCAGGCGTGATTTAGAAAAGCTTTCATGGTAAAAACATCTGAAAAGTGTGGCCTGCATTTGCACATTTATAAACTTTTCCCAACCTTCTTTTTAAAATGGTCCAATTACTGTCAAACTGGATGAAGCATATTTTTAAACATGAACCTGCAGGTTTTGCAGCAGATTGTTCTCACTCCCCCAAAAAAAATAAAACCCACAGCATGATGCTGCCACCACCGTGTCCCAATTTCTACCATTGCTTTCTTTTTTATTCTGAGTGGTTTGCAGCAGACTTCTATAGGCTTACTTAGACAATGGCTTATTCTAGCAGTTTTTCTGAAAAAGGGGATATTTCTGGATAGCAAAACTAATACTTCCCATGTCAGCAGATTCTTCCACTTGAGCTGTAAATCCTGACAGCTCCTCTGGAGTTACTGCTGGCCTTTTGGCTGCTTCCCTGAATAATGCTCCTCAGTGTGCACTTGTTCCAGCAGCGCTCTTTCAGATGTCCAAAGCTTAAGGATTTGGTTTAATGCTTTAAAGTTCTCCTCCTGACCTGCTTTCTTCCTTGCACTTTTTTTTTTCCAATTAATGTTGCAGAGCTCTGAGGCTTTATTAGAACAGCCATGTTTTTTTTTTCTTTACTTACTACCTAGGTTTATTTAGGAGAATTGGCATAAAGGTGACTGGAGACCAATGCATAACATGATTCATGTTCTTATTAATAAAAAGGAAAATTAAAAGCAGCATATTTCCCCTGCAGTGCACTATATAATGATGGTTTAGTGCATGGAATCCCAATAAAATTAGAGGACATTTGTTTGCAACATGACTAAATTAAAGCATTATATATTGTTAATGTGGGAGATCTGCCTGTTTTTCCAGTGTAGTCCTGTTTCTCTAACTGTGACATGGAAGTTGGCTCGGAGATATTCTGCCTGGCTGTGTGTTTCCAGGAGGGGGCCGCCTTTTACAGCTGCTTTTTGTATCTCTGCTTCTGTCTCTTTGAAACCCAGTCAGCCCCAGAAGATGGCTGCTCACACTGAGCCTGGTTCTGCTGGAGGTTACCTCCTGTTAAAAGGGAGTTTTTCCTCTCCACTGTCGCTACAAGCATTTTTAGTGTGAGGGATTGCATCCAAGCCAATGAGTCGATACATTCAACTGGTTTTCCTTTGATAGAAAACTTTGAATCAATCTGACTGTATGATCTGGTGAACGGAATTGTGAATTGGCACTATATAAATAAACTGGATTGAATTGAATATATTCTGCTATACTTTGGTATTTAAGGGGAATATTACTGAGGTGGTATTACTGTGTGAATTTAGTCGCATTTAACAGTTTTCCTCCCAAAGTCTGAAGTTAAATATAGTCAAGGATTACAAGAAAGCATACCCTTCTTCCCACACTGCACAGTAACCCCCATTCCCTGCTCCGAAGCTGCCTTTGTGAGACATGAGAACTCTTTAATTTGCTCTCCAGCCTGACCCCAATCATTAACCTCACATATTTCCATCAACAAGGGTCTTATCATAACTACGGCTCCTCTCTCAGTTAATTATTCATTTACCTCCTCTAATCGTTGAAGTTCAATACATGAGATTAAAGTCAAGCTTGGTCTCCCCACCACCTCAGGGGGAGAGGAGGAAACAGTTAAAGAGTACCAAAGAGTTCCTCAATGCCTTATCAGTCTAAGTGGTGCCATTTCGGAGTCGTGTGGCTGTGGAAGCCCATTCATAATTGAAGCAGAGAGACCGGCTTAATCTTGAGCCACTGTGCAGCACGCTCCCACCACAACACAACTGGAGCCAGCAGCTCCTCTGTTGCTATGCAACTATAGCAAAGAAGAACAGAGGTGGTGGTGGAGGGGGGGAGGAAAAAGTGTGCGTTCTCAACATCTTTGGAGGGCATCATGAAATTCAGATGCAACTGTGGCCACCTATTTGGGTTTAAGCGCATCACTATGATGAGTCACATGGCTTCCAAACACGTTTCACCCAAAATCCTTGTTTAAAGGCGCCTGCAGGGAGGCCCCCAAAAAATCACCTTCTGTTTTTATCTGTTTAGTTATTTTTTATGTTAAAGCGTCAGGTGGATATGGATGCACGCTGCGCAGCGTGCATCCATATCATCCATAACCACAGAATGACCAGCGAAGCAGGTTTCCATGGAGACCGAAGTGCAGGTTCTCTCCTGTCTGCTCGGATTTATTGCAAGCATTTTTATTGTTGTTGGAAATTTCCCCAAACACACACACATGGATGCAGTCGTCCTAAAATAGCTCATCTTTTTTATTATAAATTTTTTTCTAATTATTATTTTTTATGTAGTTTAAGAATTCTGTGTAAATTAGTTGATAGTGCAGATTATGTGTCCTGGAATTAGAAAGAGATGCCGTCATACTTTTGTGTGGTGCGATCGCCCTCTGGTGGCGGCGGGACATATCTACACGAGAAACAAGACAAGCAACTGCTAAGAGATGATCATAACCCTAGAGTGGATAAGGAAACTTACATCCATATATATATATATATATATATATATATATATATATATATATATATATATATATATATA